AGCTAAAGTTTAAACCATTTTGGTGTAAGTTACACAATGGACTGTAGCATACAGGTTATAAAGTTAAATTTATGTACTACATTTAATTGATGTATTTACCCCGTTTTGTGGCATGTAGTAAAAGAAAGATACATAACTCAAGATACTGGCTTGAAGCAATGGGAAGGGTGAGGGAGGAGTTAATTTCTTCCTTCTCCTCAGCCTACCCTTGCTTCACCTTCTCTGTTGCCTCTTTCTAGACATCACTCCAGGTAACAGCTGGCACTACACAAAGATAGCTACTTTGATGTTGCCTTGCTGTGCTATTTGCATAAATGGGGAGAATAACAAGAAAATAAATACCAGTGAAAATAAAAAAGCAGAGCCATGACCAAATACAGGGTTTGGCAGCTGCTGACTTGAAATATAAAATGAAATGTATCACAAAAATAACCCAAAAGGCTCCACTTGCTCACAGGGTACTTAACATACCGTAACTGGTCCTGTGCACAAGACCACGAGCACTTCTGGAACTAGCCCGGCTCTGGAACTGTGAGGATGGAGCATGACTTTCTTGGTGAAAGAATGACTCTATTCTCCTCACCAGGGTAACACAATCACCCTTGGAAGCCTTGGAGGGGCTATGCTGACCTATGAAAGGACAGAGCATGGCTGTAGTTAAGGTGACAGAGTTTTAAAACTCCTTTTTCCCTCCCTTTCTGGAATTAATGATCAACAAAAAGTCATTCAGGCAAATATTTTTTACTTCTCTAAGCAGGTTTCTTGTTCGTTTAGTCTTAATTTAGCTAAGAACAGAACTGCTGGGTGGTTTTGTATTAAACATCTGGTCTCAACCAGCCAGCTCTAGCCTAATATTCTTATTTTGCTGATGGAAACTAAGTTTAGAAACTGCTTTGCCACTGCTTTTGTTTTCCTTTTTGCCACTGTGAGCTGTATTTCAAGGGATGGTGTGGAAAATCAAGCTGCAGTTCTTTTGGCAATAAAATGGCTGGTATGTTTACTGAACCCGTAATTCCTTACACTGTGGTTACTATAATGTATTGATACCATCAACTTAGTATTCTTTAAAGAACTGCCAAGCTTACACACTGAAAAAATATGGAATATGGAGAAGACACCATCTTATATGCAACGTCTCTCAAAATGTTTTTTGGGGGAACATTTCAGAAAGATCCAAGATGCATTAATCGCATAAGCTGGCTGAATCCATGTGCTGCCTATAGCAACATTAGCTTAAAAACTCCCAACCCCACAAACATTTATGTGGAAGCATTTATAATACAACAGCTACATGCAACCTGCCGGCTTGGTGGACATGTGCATTCCAGCTTGTGTGCCAGAAATGGGAAACTGAAGGTGAAAGAAGGGAATGAAGACACAGCCCTAAGCCTCCTGTGGCCACCCACAAAAATGGTGGTTCTTTTCAGGATTCCTAAACTAGTTCTGCAGTACATCCATACCTGGTTTGCTGAAAATACATTGGAGAGAGCATGTAAGGCCAGGTTTTCCAAGCCTGGGTACCCTGCATTGGGACAGGCTATCAAGTGTTTCCAAGTGAATGCCTAGATTTGAATGAGATGCTAGAGAAAAGAGAAGACACATCTGACTTCCTCTGCTTCTGGGTGGGTGCTAACATTAGGGAAGAATTTGTCAGTTTAGAATTTATCTTGTTCCAAATACTAGAATTAATTTTTCTTCCAAGTAGTTACTGAACTAATCTATGGGTTTATTTTTCTATGTTCCCTCTTGGATAATGAAGAAAGATAGTTCTGTTCTTAAACATTCACCACTGCGTTTGATTTTTGATGGCAAACTAAACCTTCTACTGTAATTTCTTAGCAGCACAACCACCACAGGCTAGAGCAGCTCTAATCAGTTCTAGGTATCTGAAGATGCTGTACATGTTTGGAGTCATCTTGGTGTTGGTTATGATGGCACTGTGTCTCCACAATGTAGATATTTTAACCTTCTCTGAGCAAAAGGTGAAACCTTTGTACTCCAATGGTTATGGGGGAAAGCCCTATAAATCTTTTCAGTAACTAACATAGAAAACCCTATTATTTTGAACTGGAAGCTCTTCCTTGTGAGGGTGCTGAGGCGCTGGCACAGGGTGCCCAGAAAAGCTGTGGCTGCCCCATCCCTGGCAGTGCTCAAGGCCAGGTTGGACACAGGGGCTTGGAGCAAGCTGCTCTAGTGGAAGGGGTCCCGGCACATGGCAGGGGGCTGGAACTGGATGAGCTTTAAGGTCCTTTCCAACCCTAACTATTCTGTGATTCTATGATTCTAATACTGAAGCAAAGAGTTAGTATTTACATGGCAGAAGGGACTGAAAGATGAGTAATAATGTGCTGATGTATGAAAGCCCTTGCATCAGCAGATGTGCTTTTCGATACATCCCTGCCTATGGCAGGAGTTTGAAACTGGACGATCTTAAGGCCCTTTCCAACCCAAACTATTCTGTGATTCTATGATTAAAGCTAACAGGCAATTAAGTTGTAGTGGTATGATTAAGACTAACTATAGAAACCAAACCTGAGGTAACACTGCAAGCATGACTGGTAACCCTTGGCATGTGTAAGAAACAGAAACATGCTCTAGAGCACTTAGATGAAATGCTAAGAATAATTTCATACTACATCCTTAAATACCATAGTACATGATATAGAAGTTACTGTTCACTAATTGGTTTTGCACTGAAAGCTATGGCCATATGCAAATGAACAGTGGGTGTCTTGGAAATGCAGGGCAATTTAAACTGGTTTAAAAATATCTTTAATCCATAAGTAATAGGATTTTGCCACAACTGGCTCCGAGCAGAGCCTTCCTGACACCTTTGAAATGGCTCGAAGAAAAGTAAGATCAGTGAATGCTCTGGATTTAGTTTTATATCATTCTACAAACCTGAATGTTTTATAAACAGCTGTTATATCTTGTTTACATAATATACTGGTCTGTGTATTTTTGGACATCTGAAGTAGGCTGGCAGCAGTTAGTCACAAAGTATTTGTGGAAGGAAATCCACCTCCAGCTTGTTGGCAGTGCCAAAGGGTTTAAAAGACTGAATGTACTCAAAAACTTGCCAGTTTCAGTGCCAATATTTAGCAGAGCTTCTATTCAGATTGAGACAGTCTAACCACTCATGGAACGAAGAAGGTTCACTGTTGGACCTGGCAACTGCTTTCATGATACTTTTCTTAGTATTTGCTACCAGTCTGTGGGTTTTTGTAACAACTTTACATGGCATCTATTTGCTATGACCCTTGGGAAAGCATTTTCTCATACTAGCAGAGAGTGCTAGACACCTACCCTTACAAGCTGGAAGATGGTTATAAAGCAGTCTTCTGACTGTGAGTAACCCCACTCAGAAAAGAACCATTTTCTTTCTGTTAATGCAAATAGTTTTGGTTGTCTGCCTTACCCTTCAAATAAGAGAAAATGGTATAAAATATTTGCTCATCAGTCTGTGTTCTTGGGCATTTTCAGGTTTTTTCTATTAAAGACGTTCCTAAGTGCTCAGTGGCAGTACACCAGCAGGCTAGAGCAGAATACAGCTATGTGCACAGGGGCAGGAGTGTGATCTGATTTCAGACTACAGGTGTCTACCCTTGAATGCCACATGCAGATTACAGGGAAACTTGAACTGGAGGCAAGGAAAGAAAGGTGATGAGGTTGAAGGTTTATTGTTGCCCGAGTTCATATATAGGAAAACTTCATCTAGAAACACAGAGCACTGGCTTAACCAAGCATTTTAAAATCTCTTCAGAATGACTGTCTTGGGTTAAACTTGTTTACTAGATAGGACTGATGAAGTATGAGCTGGGGCAAGAGCAGCACTATTCAGAATCTGTGTCCTGATTATAGGGCAGGACTGCAGACAACTAGATATTGTAAGTCAAGGCTTTGCTATTGCATGCCATCAAGTCTTCTCATCCATCTTTCCTTCATAAAAAAGTGATGGAACTGACCCCCAGGATTCAGTGCAGTTCCTTGACTGAAATCCTCTCGCTCTCTCCTTAAGGGGGAAGTGCTCACATAAAGTGACACTGAAAGTGGTGTGACTCTTTCAGATTCAAACTGGAGTTCTAGGAGGGCAGGAATGCTTTGCTGTGACACACAGAACATCCTCTGTGGCATATGTTGCCTTTACTTCAGGCCATGAAATTCTGGCATTTTTGCCGTATAAATGCAACAGCTGGCATTCAGACAGGAATCATTTAAGCTTTGGATGTCTTACTTATAAGAACACAATGCAGCGTGTTCAAATACTGATGTTTATACGTGGTATGAAGCATGGCATTTTTATTAGCATCCTCTAAAAATCAACTGAAAATTTTCTGATTGAAAATGAGATGATATGGTCACCTCAGTAGGTAGAAAGATGACTTGAGACAAGACGTAAAGCAATGGTTGGAGTGTTGCTGTTGGTACTTCCAGAGGTGGCAGAAAGCAAAACTGCAGAACTGAGTTAAAAGAATGGGAAAAGAAGAATGAAAATAGTTTATCCAAAGTTTTGTAAATGAGGATCAGAACCATGCTGTGAAAGTCAGAAGCCACACTAGTGGACAGCAAAAGATGGTGACAGTGTATTGCACAGTTACAGTGTTATGCAAATGCATAAGTAGAGATAAAGACAAAGATGTTGTTATGCTTTAGGAAACACCTAAACGTGAAGGGGAAGATAGAGGAAGCAGGGAAGGATCACAGTCTTAAAAGGGAGGAAGTTTCATACAGGGAAACATGTGGATGAGAAGTGTGGCCTAGTGGGGTTAGTAGATGGCACTGTTAGTAAACATGGGTCTGTAACACCAGATGCTGCACAGGTCATTCTGCTTTCCCAGGGTGCAGATGCCCTGTGATGGCAGTTAGCTACAGCTCTGAAAACACAGTTAAAGTCCAGAGATCACTCTGGAAGCACACTGGCTTTCCCCAACATACAAGGCAGCTGTATGCTCTATCAGCTTCCTCTCTATCACGAGTGATACCAGCGACATTGACTGTCGACTGTCATTAAGTATTTCTTCTGGAGCAGCTTTGGGCTTCTCTACAGCTAGAAAATGCAGATAATCTTCAAGCACAAGCCTGGTTTCTTGTCTTCCAGCTGTTTCCCATTAAGATTGTCCATTTCTGTCTGATAACAACACTGGACTTCCTTGCTTTTGTGACTGCATAGAGCTTTGAGTGCTCGGGAAGAATGATCCAGCCTCTCTAGTTGGCTTGTCCTGTGACCCAGTTGGCTATTCCTTCCATAAATTCTTTTAATAGCAGTCAGATCCGAGCACTCCCTTAATACTGGAGCAGACTCCTGCACCTGTGTCCTTCCTGCTAACCTAGTAAAGGTAGAAGTGCTTAATGCCATCTGAAGGTAAAATTGATGATGGCTTTGCACCTAGTATAATCTCCTTTGATTCATGGTGAACTAACCTTCAAAGCAGTTAACTCATTTGCTATTTGTACTGTTTTTCCCCTCTAAGCATAAGTAGTGTCCAGCTAGGCTACGTTTACACAATAACCAACCCAGCCAGCTTAGAAAAAGGCCACACCTTTCCTTGAAGTGAACTAAAACACTTAGTGCACCCTTCATCCTACTCACAGTCACTCCTTCTAGTAACCATCTGCTTTGCAATGTGGTTCTACAAGCAGTTAGTTTCAGTTAGAGATGTAAGCCTGTGGAAGTCTCACATTTATACTGTGATCACTGTGTTCTTCTGTTAAGAAGCAGTTACTAAGACTGGAAATGAGACTATTGGAACAATAGCAGCCTAGAAAAGTCTCAAGATGCCTCAGTGTCCTCCAAGATTGTGGGGTCTGACTTACTACAAGTTAATATGCATGTACAAGTTAATATCTACATGCTGTATGCACACCTGAGATTCAGTTACTTCAGTTACTTCAAAGTAGCTTCAGTAACTCCTTCAGTTACTTCAAAGGAGCTATAGTAAAAATGTGTATCAATCTGGCATCCACAACATTAAACACTGCAAAAACATGAAGTGGATTCTGCAAGTACTTCAGAATTCAGAAGCCATTTAGCATTAAAAGGAGATTCTGAGTTTTAGCTGTATATTGTGTGTATATATATATATATATATAACAAATAAAAACAAACTTTCACTTTCTACAAACATCCTATAGATGACCATAGTCCTTGATCACAGAGCACAGTCAAACTTCTTCACTTAACAGCTGCCCAGTCTACATGTACTGGAGTTGTGATCAAGAGTGACTAGATGAAACAAGAGTTTATTAATTACTTTATAAAAGAATTTTTATTTAACAGTAGGCCATCTCAGTAAATTAAGTTGATAGAAGTAACTAATTTCAGCAGCAATGGAGCCAAGTACCTGGTAAGTTCATGACTTGACTTCAGTTTCTTCTACTTGAGGTACTGTATCCCAAACTGGTTCCTTAATGTGTTCAGGTACTTTCTCTATCTTAGTCTAAAAGGGAAGCAAAATAACCATATATGATACCAGCTGATTAACACCTAACTACTTTGCTTTATTTAGTCTGGTTTGAGATAGGCACCAGATTAGAAATGCCACCTAGTGACGTTTTCAAGCAATGCAGCCTCTCTACTGTTCCCAATAGTTTGAAGATGCTCCTTCCAAACTAAACACGTTTCCTCTGCTGATGCTAAAGACTTAGGTAATTACTGGTACTTGCACCTAGACGTAGTCTCATAACAGTTAATAATGTGAGGTGGAAACTTACCTTTTTTACTTCCATGGCCACCCCTTCGGGTAAGTTTCGTTGCACATACTCCAAGTAAACTGCAGCGGTACTGCCCGTTATGTATTTTAACTGAAACAGAAGTAATGTTCTTTTAATGAGCTACTATTATTAATATTACAAACAGAACACAAACAACGTCTGCCCAAGCCTCTCTAGCTCTTGCTATGGGACCAAACATCTTACAGGATGGCAGCTGCCATAACACTGAACACAGGCAGTTGAGCTGTTCAAAACTCTCACACAAGTAGGAAGTAGTTATTTCATTCCACAATGCACTAATTATGAGGGAAGGGGTGGATCATAACACTGCACATATCAGACAAAATTAATTACAGGTTATGCAAAAACTACTGGCTTCTGTATACTCTCAAAGTTCACGCTTATTAGAAATCCTGGAACTCCAGAATTTCATTGAATTATTGATTTTCCAGTTTCTCCTGGATAGCAAAGCCAGTGCTTATGGTCTGTGGGCAGCCATTTGTACTGCATGAATGTCTGGGGACTTCAAGTCTCATTCTGCTAAGCACTGTTTCAGTAAGAAACCCAGTAACCAAAAAATACAGGCAGTAAACCTTTCTTCTAAGAAAGTCGACCACAGCTGCATTCTAAACCATACACGAGTCTGTGTCATCAGCCATAGAGCTGGTGGTTTGTATACACTTCCTTTCTTGTATTTCCCCCACGCAGTTCTACTTCACCACATGATGCTGGCATATGGCAAAGCCATGCATTTTCAAAAACAACAGACAAACTCATAAAGAAGAGAACCCTTGGTGACTAGTAATGGCAATGATTTAGCTGCATCTTGCTCTCATCCCACTGATTCTTGGACAGCAAGGACATAAAACATATTGATAACCCTCCATTCTACCTTTTTTTAATCATTCCTTCAGCTGTTAAGATGTCAAAATCAGCCTTTTAATCAAAAAATTATGTTGGCTCTACATTCAGAATAACTTGTGTTACATTAGCTATACCTAGGTCAGCTCTTCTATGCTATTCCTTGCACTCTCCTCCCCAGCCAAGTAACCAGGAGGTTTGTGTTCACTTTTGAACTAACATCTGTTAACATATTTGAATTGTGTTCCTAGAACATACTTATTTTTGCTCTTTTTCATCTTTCTTACCTCCAAACACAGGTAATGTGTTCTCATTTCATACTGAACTCTGTGCTTCTTGTAAATATGTACAGATTTTAAGAGTGTCAACCGTTCTATCGTCTTCGGAGGGTTATATCTGAGCAAGCACAAAATGTCATATTATTTTATACTTTACATGAAGTAATACAAATTATCTGAACAATTATGCTGAAATCCTTGTTCTTATTTAGAAGATCTATATGGAAGTATTAGACACTGTTAAGTTTGTAATTAACCCACATGGGTATGGTTAATACTCGGGTATTAACCAACATTAGTTCAGGGAAGCTAAAGCACTGCCAAATATATGTAGAGTACTGTCAACACCCTTCACGTAGTTAAAATGCACTTCTACTATTGCAGTGCAGAGTATAGAACTGCTGCTGCTTTTTCATCACTGTGCTGCCATCCAAGAAGTGTAAGATTTATAATCGTGAGAAAAAATGTCATATTACACTTGTTTCTTCTGAAGAAAGCACAGAACCTGAATTACAGAAGTGACACAAGAAGCATTTGACACCACATCCCTCTACAGATCAGTTACTTACACTTTTTCAATAGAGATGCCAAGTTCTTTAGCTGCAAGCACTGCAAAATATTCATAGCTGTCCAACACAGCTCTATCGTGGCCCTTAACTAGAAGAGATAATCTCTTGTACAGTATTTCTGGCTCATCTGAAACAGATACCTGCATTTTGAAAGAAAGGACACAAGTTACTACTCCACGCTCCCCTTAGCTGGCACATGCCCCACACATTCGCTTAGCCTGGGTGCCCCATTTGTAAAAGAAGAAAAAGGCCCCCCTGCTAGCTGCTTATTTTAGTTTATCTGCAAAAAGCTGGCAGTAATACCTTGATGGACACTCTTATCAGGGAAAACAGAAGTGTGAAGAGCTACCCAACCTCTGAACATTTAGATCAAATTTTTTGATCAGAAAAAGGAAGTGAATGCCAGATAAGGAGGACAACACTAGCAAAGGCAAGAATGAAACGCGGTGTTAAAGCAACTCTGGAGCAGCAACATTTGTATTTTAAACAGCAGCGTGAGCATACCTCAAATTCTCAGACTTCATTTGGATACGGACAGTAACTAGAACATTACCAACAGTAAGCATAAGTCTCACTTTACTAAGTCAGTAAGTTACAGTTCTTTCGACTTTCAATTTCTGTTGGCCTGGACTACTGATCATCTGAAAAACCTTGATGTGTGCAAGAAGCACAGGCTGTCCCACAGGTTTACTCCCAGTTTACAGTTTAGCACAGTAAATCCAGCATGTACTAGACACAGTAGGAAGGCTGGGTCTGTACTTTAGATCTAGTACTGCCTTTACATTGTGACTGGCTTGCATATGTCATACAGACTGAGCGTGTGTTTCCGGCATCCTCCTCAAAGTCAAGGCATTCAGATTCTAAAAGCAAGATAACCAGCTCATGCCTTCATAAACTTCCCACCTCCTCAGCCCTGGGCTCCCAGCTTCCAAGCCAGAGACAAAGGCCTTAGCCTAAGATACTGCAGGCACTGAACTGAGTGTGGCCAAAAAGATGGTATTTCACAGAGTTACAGCTTCACTGAAAACAAGAACAGTGATTAAGAGGCAACTGTGGGCTACAGAATCTTGCTGGGCAAGGGAGGGGATATCTCAAAATACCAATAATCTAAATTTCTTTCTTTATGGCAAATTTGACGTCACTAAGACAGACCTTTAAAAAGCTGCAATAAAGGAAGTTTTTCTGTCTGCCCTCTTTATTACTCAGACAACATACGAAATACCCTTCTATAAAACACTTACCAAAGGATTAGTCTTAGGCTCCTGTGTATCAACATGGGATCCAGCCAGTCGTGCTCCCAGGTTGGAGTTTCTACAAACACGGTAATGGGAAAGCATAAAGGTAAGTTGTTAAAGTCAGGTATTTTTCAGGATTGTGGATGAGAAGCAGAAAGGAGGGCCTTTTATACTTACAGAAGAAAACACTGCTTTTGCATAATTCTGCTTGCATAACCGACAGGAAAAGCTGATCCCTGTATAAAACAAATAGGTAATGTTGGGTTTTTTTCCCCAGCTGTAAATGAGCTGGTTAATACAGGTTTATCAAAGATTACTTTTTTGCACACCAGAGCATAACCCATTCCTAGGCATTGATCTGCCAAACTAGAAAGTCTGCTTTATCAGAAAATGCCAGAAAACAGAAGTATAGAAATGTATTTTATTATACAACAGCACCTAAAAAAAGGGAACACATTAAGGGCACAGTGCAACAGAAAGTTCCTTGTGATTTTGAAAACTTGTTCTTTTGAAGAAAACATTTAAAACCTTCTAACAAGTAAATGAGCCATATTTAAAAGATAACATGATTTTTTTCTGTGTTAAAAGGGGAATACAACTGTTAATCAAGAGGTAACATTACTGTCTTTCATACTAAAATAATGGCTGCCTTCTGAACATTATGTGGCTTCCAGCTCCCTTCCACTAATTCTCAATTTGGCAAAGTTACAGACTACTTAAGGGAAAGAAAAAAAAAAGGTGGGGGAACCAGAACTCTCTCTTGCTTAAGAGAAACTCAGGGCTGCAGCAGAATGCTGAAGCAAAATTAGCTACTTATCCAGCCCCTTGCTACTCTTATTTAGCAGGTGGCAGAGTCACAGCTTAGAGAGAGCAGACACATATCCCACACATTAGTTATGTAGGTGGCTGTATGATCAAAACATCAGAAAGCAGCCAAAACTGACACTTTTCCAGGTAAACTCAATTTAGTAGCTCATGGGTATGAGTAACTATAGGATGCTATTAGGTCCCGTGTCTTCTCCAGTATGCATTATATATTAATTATAGATCAGAAGTTAATGAAAGTGTTTTCTGAAATCATTGTGCCTCATTTGCTATTTATCCCACAAATTCTGCATCCAGTGAGGAAGACGACAGCAGGAAGAGTGTCCCATTTACAAAGCAGCCTCTTGTCTGGAGAGCACAGCTCAGTGTCTCCCCTTAGGCAAGCCTTCCAAATCCAGATGCTCACAGACAAGTGCTGGTGTTACATTCTTAAGTGTGTGACCCAATAAGCACCTTCAGGAGTACAGAACATTTGCCACTATAGTTGATAACCGTTCCAAATGCTTCAAAGTTCACACTGGGAACTACTTGAGCCTTAATACCTAAAACTAACAAAAACACGTCTGATAAAATTATCATGTTCTCTGCACCTCAATTCTCTATCTCTGAAGTGAGAACACTGCCTCCCTTTCATTCAACACCAATATGAAGTACACTAACATCATCAGCTGACATCACTTTAGGGAGCAGACAGGCCCATGAGCATTAAAGACCATATTCAGTGTAGGGCAACTGTGAGTGAAGGACTTGGCACAGAACCTGACCCCTGATGACAGATGTAAGACTACTGGTTGGAATTGTAACTAAAAGCAGTATCCCTCTTTTGTGTGTGTGTGTACACAGTCTGTCCTATGTATTATTTTACTTCTAACTGCTTTACCTTATGACATGGATTTATTACTTGCATGCAAATGTATGTACTCGTATCATATTGTATTATGTGGCTTTGGATACAAAAATTTCAGTCTTTATCACATGATCATAAATAAAACAAAGGGTAATGATGTTCTACCCCACAGACTAAGCTCCACAGCCTTTATAACTTTCCATGACTGTGCACAGTATTCCCACCATTTCATCTCCTTTTGTTACTAGTTATGCACGTAGGCACCAAATAAAAAGTTCTCCTAAACTAGATTAGAGGTGTTCTGTGCAGTTTTGACAAAATGACATGATGAGCACCCCAGGTAGCAAAGATGGCATTCAGCAGGCAATAAAGCATATTTTCACAGAACCCCAGACTGGTTTGTGTTGGAAGGGGCCCTAAAGTTCATCCAGTTCCAGCCCCCAGCCACAGGCAGGGACACCTTCCAGTAGAGGTGCTTGGTCCAAGCTCCTGTGTCCAACCTGGCCTTGAGCACTACCAGGGATGGGGCAGCCACAGCTTCTCTGGGCACCCTGTGCCAGCGCCTCAGCACCCTCACAGGGAAGAGCTTCTGCCTAAGAGCTCAGCTCAGTCTCCCCTCGGGCAGGTTCAAGCCATTCCCCTTGTCCTGTCCCTACAGGCCCTTGTCCCAAGCCCCTCTCCAGGTTCCCTGCAGCCCCTTTAGGCACTGGAGCTGCTCTGAGGTCTCCCTTTCAGGAGCCTTCTCTTCTCCAGGCTGCCCCAGCCCAGCTCTCTCAGCCTGGCTCCAGAGCAGAGCTGCTCCAGCCCTCGCAGCATCCCCATGGCCTCCTCTGGACTCGCTCCAACAGCTCCACGTCCCTCTGGTGCTGGGTTATTTTATCAGCTTCCTTCACTCTCTGGTTTAAACATACAACATGCACTCTTGCTAATGGCCATCACAGTAGGTAAAAAGGACAGTCAGACTGCACCGCTTCCAGAATTCCATCTCCCGCGTGAAACAAGGCCTTGCACAAAACAAAATTACCCTTCTAATGCAAAACAGCCTTCATTTTGTTTGGGTGTCAGATTCTGGAGTACCCACATGCCTGAACGGTAAGCAAGTCCAGAACAGAGCACATATATGGATAGAAAGAGGTTAGGGCTTCAGAACATGAACAAGAAATCCCCACTGTAAACTCTTCTCACCTTGAAAGCAAGCCATCACTCTTGAGAAAACAAAACCAGCAGAAAACACTGGTAGTGTAAGTTTTCCTTTTTTGGTCTTTTACATCATAGCTTCAAGAGCTGAAACTTTACAGACAGATGGGCTTCGCCTGTTTCTATATGTGTGTTACACATATAAATCACAGTCAATATAATACTGATATGCATCTGCATCCAGCATTTAAAAGGCTTGGACTAGATGAGCGTTGAACCCAAACTGTTCTAGGACTCTGTGACTTCCAATCTACGTCTAATTCACCCTCCCTTACACCGACTGCCGCAAAACCGGCCTGCAGAACAGACTTCTGAGGACCGATATTGAGGGGAAGAACCACATCCCCAACCCTCCCACAGCCAAAGGGAAGCCACCTCCCCTGCCCGACGGAGCCCAACGAGGCTCTCAACCCCGCGGCTGCTCCAATTCCCTTTTCCCCCTCAAGCGTGAAGACGCTGAAGGAAAAGATGAAGGAGAACCGGGCTCACTCATCCCCCTTCCCACCTCACCTGGCACAGCCTCCGGCACAGCCATCGCGCCGCCATCTTGCCTCCGCCCCAACCCGACGACCATAGCGAGCGACCCGGAAGGAGAAGGGCGGCCTCATCCGGCACTTCCGGGAGGGGGGTCACTGCGGCAGGCGCGTTCCGGGGCGGGGAGGCGGGTTGGGAGCGCGGATGGCTCCGTGCAACTGGTACGGAGCCCTCAGCTCGCCTCCCTCCCCAACCCCGTCCCCGCCTCCGCCTCTCAGGGTCGGTTACCTCAGGGGAGGAGCGGCCGTTTCCCGCCAGGCGTCCCCTCAGCCGCGCTCTCCCATCCCGTTTTCCAGGAGGGAAGGAACCGGGAATTGTGAGAGCTTTCCCCACCCCGAGGCAGGGCTGGTGATGTTGCTGACGGGGAGAGGTAGAAAGGGGGATTCTTCAGCTGTTCCCCCCCTTTTCCGAGACCACGTTTTACCACAGCTCGTTCTAACCAGGAATATCCATGCCCACCCAGCTGTACAGAGGTGAATAGTATGTATTTATATAGTATTTACCTCCCTATTTACCTATATATATATATATCTATGTATAGTATTTACACATGCACCCCCCTTAAAAATACAGGCCGATTGCAGTGATCTGTATTTCTGCATTTACCAAAGTGACCGGAAGTGTTTTCTCAACCCCCTTTTCGTCACACATATACATTATCTATATGTATAATTTTTTGCCTGGGACCATTCAGGACCGCTTTGAAAAGCAATTACACATTAACCTGATTGTCAGCACTCCCCCACCCCTTTAAAGTACTTCAAACAATAAAAGCTACACAGGCCTGTGAGCAAAACGCAGCCAACTGTGATGTGCCAAAGTGACTGGAAACATCCTATCAACCCCCTTCTCTTTACACGTATCAATCACAGTTCATATAACACGAGTTCTAATCAGGAACCGGTACTTAAAGGGGGGGATAAACGTACTAATTCACACCACTAAACCATCCTAATGCACAGATCCAGGTCCACAGTGGCCTGAAATTAAGGCATGTGCAAGTCAACCAGCAACCACAGGAACTGGAGAGCAGTATAAATCACAAGCTCTGTAAAATGGGTGGGTTTATTTAGGTTTTTGTTTATTTTGTTACTTCCTCTGCCACCTAAAATTACAGTTCGCTTTTTACACTGAAGCGCCTAAAATATGTACAACCGTCTGCTAATAAAATAACACTTAAATATTGAAAATAAGATTTTTCTCATAAAATATGTTTTCTCTATGTACAGGTTTTATCAAAGAGGACTCGGTTCAATAGCGAACAGTTTTCCATCATCAACCAGCAACAAGAAAACAAGTTTCCTGAAATAGAACTATGTCCGACTTAGGTACAAAGAGGCAGAACAGCATCTGTTTAACATCAGCCAATGCAACACTCAAGAATAACGAAGTCAACGTTTGAGGCCGAAATCGTGCACTTTTTTTTCCTTTATGAGTAACTTCTTTGGTCATCGTTGCTCTATCATCTTCTTGGCTGTACAATAAACCAGCACCTGATTAATGTTACAGAACCAGGCATATATATGTGTATATATAGTTATATATACTCTGTTTAGCACAGATACCTGTCCAATGGATGGTAGAAAAGTTCCACTGTAGATCCTTTAATACAGAGTTGCTCTTTAGAATCAAGCCCACGTTTCTACTCTATTTCACTCTATGCTTTAAGTAGAATTCTGAGTGACTTCAATTATCACACCGTTAAACATTCATTTTCCCCCCCTACCATTAACAGAGGCATCTGAAATAAACATTTCCATTTCCCAGCGTAGCAGCCTTTCTCAGAAAGATCCTTAGATGCTCAAAATGACACCAGATTGGAAGAGAAAGAGTGGGCTCTGCCCAGTGGTCTCTAACACGGGCTCCTAAAAGCCACCACAAGTTACTGCTTGTGAAAGCCTCCATTTATTTTCAGTGGAAATTTATTATCAGTGGATCTAGTTGGCAGCATACAGCTGAGCACCCAGCCTGCAGAGCCTGGGTGGCGTGGCCCTTGTAAAAGTAAGGTGTAACAGGACAGGAACAGCAAGCTGGGGAGCCTGCTGACTGGCAGTTCAGGAAAGAAAAGGCAGCTGCCTGCCCTCCTGAAACTCACAGGTACAGTAATTGAGAACATCATCCCTTACATCCCAGAGGGAGTGAAATGCCACCCGCTGGTCAACACCAATGAAGGAAAAAAAAAACCCTTCTGGAACAACCCCCCAAAGCACTAAAACACCACATGCACAGGAACTTCACTAACCAGAAACTGAGAAGTGATTTCCATTCTCCTGAAGGGTTGTTCCTTAAGTATGAGAACATTTGACCTTAAGTAGAAACTTCAGGTCATTTGGCTTCACATAATTGGCTTTGACAGAGAAGGCACCTCTCTGCCAACGATTCCCATCGGGTCTGAAACTTCTGAACTATACAAAAGTGCTGTGATTTACCCTCATTTTGCATAGCTATACAAGGAAGAAAGTACAAAATAAGCTCCACCATCTCTCAAGATTCTGCTCAGGATGTTAGGAACGTGGCAAAAAAACCCTAATAAAACAAAACCGAACCCATAAAAAAACCCCAAATGACCCTGAAACCTGGAAGATCTGAAATCAGTCTTATAAAATATTTTATAAAGTTAGCAATAACTCTTCTAACTGTGCAAAATTCACAAGAAAATCAGTGCTGCTACCTGTGAAAGCCCTACAATCGGTATTCATATTGTGTCATTAAAGGTCCACTCAAACCTAACTTCAATACTTCCTTAATCCTTTCATTCTGCAGGGTACAATTCTTTTGAGACCCTATTTAGAGGACCAAATCTAAAGTCGCATAAATGGTGTCAGACACCCAGCATGTAGATCTGAACCTAAGGGAGGAAAAACAGTAATGAAACAGCAACATCAACTCACCTTTGCAGTATGTTTTGCTAAAGAAACAGTGCTTGAATTTGATGTAATGAGGACTAAAAACGGCACAAGAATAACAGTTTGTGCCTACAAGTAATAACTGACATGCACTGAAGGCATATGCTCCAATCTCTTCCACGGGCAAGAATGTCTCCCTGTATTTGCCTGGTGAGAGAGCAAGCTCCTGCGCTGCTCAAGCATATGCTCTCCTATAGCCACCGAGATGGCTATTCAGCAGTGTGATTTATTGTCACAGCAAAATACATTTCCAGTGCAATCTGATTCCCAAGGCAGTGTTCCCGATTCAGTGTTCCCATCAGAGGATGTGAACCACAGTACAATCATCTTTCTTCAGTCCTTGAATTAGGTCATTTTACAATCAGCGGATCAAACCCTTGCTAAAATGGAAGCTCTAAAACGTACAGTGTAACCAATGCTTTTGCAAACTGCCTAACATGTCTGCATTAAGGCAAGACAGAACTGAAAAAGGACTGCGATACTGCAGATGATACAGTCACTCCTGTCATTATTTCACAGTTAAATCAGAATAGGTTTTTTTCCTCCACCTCCCTTAAAAATGACAGCACAGAGAATGTAATTATCTCCTTAACAGAGATGACATTTAGTCTCTAGAAGATGCTGGAAGTGATCCAGCATAGGCAAAAAAAAAGAAGAAATGCTCCATCAGAAGTGTCTGAAGATCATTCTTGTAATTGGGGTAAAATGAAACTTGGAAGGAGTTAAAGACTAACGATCCTCCCAGGACCATCTGGAGGGAAGTGATAGCAGAACCATGAACTTCTGTAATTAGTGGCCTTGGAAGTTATCAGCAAAATGAGCTCAGATAGAAACACCTTATAAGAATAGTTGTACCAATTATTTATTTTTCCTCCAAAACACAAATTAATAGAAAAAAAAGGGGGGAAAAAAGCAGATTTTTTTTTTTTTTCTTTTCTAGACCTGGATAGAAGGATTATCATTTCCAACAGGTAGTTTACAATCAGTGGGGAATAAACGAGCAGTCCAGGTTTCCTGATCGATCCATTCAGGGCGTGCTCAGTAGCTGTCTTTATCAAACAACTTTATTTACAACTCGGCATCATCCTGCAGTAGATCTGCATCTTCATCATCCAACAAAAGGTCAGCATCCATGACTTCATTCTCTTCCATGACATCACCCAGCTCCTGAACAACATCATCGTCAATGTCACCCACACTTCCAACATGTTTAACCAAACTCATGTGATCCAGAGGGATCAAACCATGCCCAACGGGCCCAGTAGTTCTCGCAATAGCGGCTGCCGCTTCTGCGGCCACAGCGGCTTTCTGAGCCTTCTGCCTCTGCTGTTCCTCTTGTTGTCTGTGAGTCTTCATATGAGCATTGCGGCTTTTGATTCTGAAAAACACCCTAAATTTGAAAGGAATAAGAAAAAAAAATCAGATAAAAATGCATTCCTTTTGATGAAGTGAGCCAAAAAAGACTCAACAGCCTATCAGTACATTTGCTTCCTTGTCTTGAAATAGAAGTCAGTAAGTCTGCAATGCCACGGTGAGGATATCAGGGACAGACTACCAGATTTATACATCCTGACAGTAGCAAAATGGCCTACTCCTACTGCCGGAGGTATTTTGTAGCTCGCATAGTTGCTTCAGTGTCTCTGCACATTCTCGCTCTCCCTGTCCTTACTTTCACAACAGTCCTGGCACAACAAAGAAAACGTGAAGGAATCCCACGTTAGGATGGACGAATTCAGGCACAGAAACGGACAAAAAGTGACCCACTGTCACATGCAAGTGTGGGATGTAGCAGGAAGCTGGACTGTCAAATGCAGACATTCCAGCAGGTAAATAGGTTCAGGAATATCGGAGTAAATACTGTGAAGCTTCCAAAACATCCAAAATGTCATGCTAACCAATCTCTGAGGGTTTTGGTAAGGCAAAACTGTTCTTCTGAGACCATCAGAGCAAAACAAAGGGTTTGTTGCAATACTGTTCATCTGGAAAATAAATGGGCAAATGTGATACTGCAGAGTTCTCTGCGCTTACCTGCCACACTCCTTGCAAGGAAATATCGTCGTTGGGTCGGTCTCCCCGCTTGTTGTGCTGTGGGCAGGTGAACTCTTGATGGAGCAGTACCCGCTCTGCGTACCGCATTTCTGCTTCGGGCCTGCAATGGTGCACCGCGGCTTTGGCACCTGGTTCGTACCTCCGT